CATTTGTCGTCGAATGTTACAAGTAAGGGTTTTTCTGAAATTTCATTAAATTTTTATCGTAAATATTGCCAACAGAAATCCACTTTTTTCCATCATTAAAACCACGACATTTCAACTGTTCATTAAAACTACGATAATACATTTTCACTAAAATATAGCCCTAAAATAAACACGTTTTCTCAGAATTTATTAAACGTCACTTATTCCGTTTTGGTTTTCACCCATTTATACGTTCGTATAACAAAAATGTAAGCAATTCAAGTAAATTAATTAAAACTAAGTTAAATAAAGTCTATATTGAAACACTACGAAGGGGCATGAATTACGTAACGCAAATTTGGAGTATTTTGAATACTCCCTCTCCCCCCTGTAACGCACCTGTAACACGCTATTGAACTCCTCCTAAATAATTACGTAAAGCATGCGACAACCCTCCTTATTAACGCAAGAAGTGAAAAATTATAGCTCAGTAAAAAATTGTATTCATTATATTTGTGGGGTGTATTCAAATTTATGATAATTAAAGTCGGAATTAGTTGTCTGCGCCTAACAATAAGATTGGGGGTAAATGTTAAGTGAAGCAAGGACGCACAGGTGAGAAAGTTTCTTATCACAGCCGTGCATACGCCGCTGTTTTGCATGGTGCATGGGCGAGAATCTATTATGCCAATTTAATTGTATTCTACAAAATACAAGCACTATTGTTTCGACGTTTCACACAAATAAAATTATTTTACTTCGAAAACTTCACTACTCTGGTAATTATGGCAATAATGAAAGAGCTTCGACACACATTCGTATTCACAAAAAAGATCGCAAACTGCTGGCCGACCAGCTGCAGGCACACTGGCTTCCGCGAGACACTTAGGAACTTCCATTCAGAACGGCCAGCTTTACACAAAGAACTCATCCAATGTGCGTTCTGAATCAACAAACCTAATATCAAATATACGCAAATTCTCCAAATATCATACAAAATGCATTGAATATCGTCAATAGTTGACTGAACTTGTGTACTTTCAATAACAAGCAAAATTCATAAAATTACGTTGCAGCGATTCTGGCGAAGACATAATATTGGGATTCCCCCGAGGCTCCCTCGGTATTTGCGCAGCGCTTGACAGCGCAGGTTGGCCAATCGAAACGCCCCATGTCACCCGTGTTAAATCGATGGGCCAGAGAGTAAATGCAGTAAACCTACGGCATACAGTCAGCCGAGAGCGTGGTGCAATACCCGGCAAGGGACCAGACACTGGAAAAAGCGCCAAATGGACGCTCTTTGGTTGCAAAATGGTTTCATATACATCGATATTGCTGCAATATCTTGAATATTGAATGTCAATAAAAAGAAAATGTATATCCCTAAGATGTGAGATCTTTTCCGATTATCTGGAGTTGTGCAACGTGCAAAATAAGCTCGAGTCGCCACTTATAATAATAATAATAATAATAATAATAATAATAATTGGTAATTATAAGGGCATTTTTATGTAATATTGAAACGTTGGTCGAATTTGACGCGGCTACGAGGTTGAGACATTTAAGAAAATACATGGCGTGACGCAATGTGGCGTTTCAGAAATTATAATAAATGCTGGTTGTAATTTTCCGTAAAATGCAGGGTGTTTTTCTGTCGATAATAAATTCCCGAAAATAAGTGTTCAAACAGTCGAGATCTCGTAATAAGCGATGGATTTTTTTGCCCTTTATACTAATGGTATTAAATATCGTCGAAAGCTATCATTACTAAATTAATGTTCACCAAGATGTCATTTCTCGTTAGATTTTGTCACCTAGCCTTTCCATTGCAAGTTACACAGTTAGACTGTTCATCTTCCACAGCTGGCTCCCATTTCCATTACCGCTATTTTCAGCATTGCTCTGTTTTCACCCATACATCTTTATAACATCTCTTCTCCAATATCATTCACCATTTTCTAAGTATGACCGCAAGGTTTACACACACTACGAAGCACAAGTCTTATCTCTGACGAAAAGCAAAAAACGCTTATGAGAAAAACAAAAGGCACAAAACTCAAAGGAAAAATGAATAAGAATCAACTACATATAAGCAAATGAGACCAATACAGCTCTGTATTTGTCTCATTTGCTGTCAATTCTCCCCAGTTGTTACACGGTGGTACACATTTCAATGTTATGTATGTAACATTTGAATTTGTACGCAAGTAGGTGTGCAACATTTCAATTGGAATTGGTGTTTTAATTAACATTAATTTAATTAATAAACAAATAAATAAATACATTAATAAACACTAAAAACATAACTTGCTTCTTTACAAAACCTAAAATTAATTTTTGAAAACCTAAAAAGCCGTAATGATGAAGAATGAAGGGTCTCTATAGAATCGTTTGAGTATTTGACATGTGACGTGTAATGATATTTCAAAAACGATGCGAATGCATTATTTGCAGTAAGATGCTGATCAAAAAGATGGTTATATTATCTTAGACAAGGTCAAAGCTTTTATCTTATTACTCCTGATATTCTCAATAGAGAGTTATTTCAAAACACTGATACAACTTCTTAAAATAGAATGAAAATATTTCGCAATGTTACACAACTTTCATCAATACGCTTTGCAGAAAATGATTTTACAGTTTTCTCTGTTATTCATTAACTGTACAACGGGGTAAAAAATAACTGTCATTGCAAAATACCCGTAAAATTCCAACGACGTCTTTAACCTTTTAAATCACAAATTCTATCGATTACGTACTTAGAAAATACTTTGGGCAACATTCAATATTTATGCAGCGATTTAAAATAATATAGTAATACCAACTTTCTGAATAACGTAAGGACTTCTTTGTGAACGAACCACGGGGTAACTACGTGTGCGTCACCCTGCTGCTTTTTTTCTCGGATTTTGTGAAAGCAAGGCAGTCTGAAGTGCATTGGTGTCCTCGCTTCCTGTGCGGTGCGCTGGATTAGCCTTGGGTACGTATCATAGCGTCTTACGCAAATATTATTTAAATTTTTGTTCTTTTATACATAGGCCCCAGATAGAGAGAGAGAGAGAGAAAGAGAGATGAGAGAGGAGAGATGAGAGAGGAGAGATGAGAGAGGAGAGATGAGAGAGGGGAGATGAGAGAGGGGAGATGAGAGAGGGCAGAGAGAGGGCAGAGAGAGGGCAGAGAGAGGGCAGAGAGAGGGCAGAGAGAGGGCAGAGAGAAGGCAGAGAGAAGGCAGAGAGAAGGCAGAGAGAAGGCAGAGAGAAGGCAGAGAGAAGGCAGAGAGAGGAGAGAGAGCAGAGAGAGAGCAGAGAGAGCAGAGAGAGCAGAGAGAGCGAAATAGCTAGAGCGAGAGAGCGAGCCAAAGATTCTGTAGTCTCTTTTTTATCTATTCACGAGCTTGGTTGCCTTCAGTCGTGCCTTTAATATTCCAAAGACACTCCTCCCAATATGGCCTCGAGCAGTGCCACTCCCGGTCGCGATCTTTGTATTTCTCCTCGTCGCGTACGAATACGACCAAAATTCTCTCCCTCCTCCATCTCCGGCGGTGCGCACTTCTAGGCGTGGCAATTTCTACGCGTACCCCTGTCATTAATTAGAACCTGGAGTGTTTTTCGACTCAGCGACTCGGTCGGAATTTTACAGATTATTGGTCCTTGTCGGCTGAAAGTAGTCGCCTCCTCTACTCGTATTTACACACTTTTCCCAGTGGTATTTCCGTTTCGCGAAGCAGTCCTGGATAACTGTAGTTGAAATGACCTTTAAGGTGTGTGACGAATTTACTTTGTTGACATCAACAGACTAGAAAGAGCGTCCTTTCACCACAGGTTTCAATTTCAACACCATAAAACAAGAAAATCTCAAGCTTCGAGATCTGAGGAGTGAGGAGGTGAGGGAGAAAAGGGATCCTGCAATAATCAGGCGAGAAAAGAATTTTGCAGATAGAAGATAATGGAAATGGTCTTGCAAATCACTAGGATTTACATTCTCGAACAAAACTTTACATGAAATAATCAAGCCTGATCTCCAAATTCTCCCACGTGACCCCTACCGGATTTATATTTGTTTACATTAATTACACAGGTACATAAAAAAAAGGTGTCAGACCCAAAGCCATGACACATGTTTCTCTTTGTATGTCGACACGCTGATTCAGAATCTGACGTCAGAATTACGCCACTGCCGTCCAGATTTGTTTAAATTGCGAAAAAAATCACAATGAAATGGTACATTTTATTGTTTTTTGCAATTTAAAAATACCTGGAAGGTAGTGGCACAATTCTGGCTTCGGATTCAGCGCGTCGACGTACATAAAGAAACATGTGTCAAGTCTTGGGTCTGACAAATTTTGGCTTCTTGAGAGTATAATGCTCAAGACACTAATTCCAATGCTACAAGACACCATTTTAGACAGCAGTCTAGTACTCACAGTGTTTTGCACAATTAAAAAAACCCACTGAAAATAAAATGTCACTGCGTTTTTTGAGACGGGCTTTCTTAGGGCGTGGAGATACTTTACCAATCCATTGTGATGGCTGAACTTTCGTCTCAATGTCATCTCCATAAGTTTGTCTCAAAAGCTGAAACGTTTCGGTGAAAGTTTTCTCCAGTTTAACGCATCATTTTACGTTGCATTGTTGTTCCAGAATATCGCGCATATAAAAATCGGCACTACTTACACACGTTGCACTTCAACAACAATATCTCGAAAACAAAACAAGATATCGACAATCCAAGAACACGTGGAAAGAGAGAAAGTTATGAGAAAAATGAACATAATGCTGCCAACAGCAAGTCTCTAAATACCTGCATGAGCGCGAAATTGAAAAAGTTCGGTAATTTTCAGAACAAACTTCGCACGAGTGTTGCGAGCAAGGCCTTGTGAGTCTGCTAAACACACACCGAATTGTGTCTTGCGTAAAAGATTACGATGAGTTCCCTTGAGTGACATGGTGCGTAAGCTGCGCGGATAGCCGAAAGCGGCATCCCATTAAACTAAAAAAATCCCAGGAAAAAAAGGTTATGCACAATGTTTTGAGGAAACAAATAATTTTCACGTAACTTTTGTTTGAAGTCAAGGCAAATTATAAAAAAAGTATCAAAAACACTTCAATTATTTTTCTTCTGATAGAACACAGAGCACTTTAGTAATGAGCAAGATCTTATTTTCAAAATGGTCCCAGGTTTCATTTTTGACCTCTGAATTTTCGAAATTTGCAAAACTTACAGATTAGCTTGAAAGTATACGCTCGTGTAGTACCACTAGATAATGTGTTACCGAATTTATTCCATTCTTTCGAAAAGATGACACCACAAAATCCGAGCACTTGGGTTTATTTTATCTTATCGACAGCAAGGTAAGTGTGTATTCACGCCCGTGAATCTGCGGCGGTTTGATATAAATTCAACGTCATTCCGGATGACAAGCAGTGCTGTGAGACAGAGTAGCAGGTAACCATCTCATTCCATTTCCTAACTTGTGGAGAAATTACATCTACCAACGCGCGTAAAAATGTCCTTAAAAGACGTCGTCTTTTACAATGGTCAGAAGATGCCCATCGTAGGTCTGGGCACTTGGCAGGTAAGGTGTCTCTGTTATATTTTTTGTACAAGATACATTCGTTCTAAGAGCAATAAAACAATGACATTTCTCACTAAACCAACTAAAAAGTTTATCCAGTCTTTACGGTACTTCTGTTGGCCTTTTCCCGTATTTATTGCTATTATTATTTTAGAGAGAGTTTTGCAAAGGTGTCCGTTTGAAATTGTGTGATTAAGCGTGGAAATTTTGACAATAGTTACAGTTCATATTTGCTGGAGATATTTACATGGCAATTAGTTCACAATAAGCCAGAAGCATTTTAAATGCCACGATGTTTAAAGTTTATTTCATGATGGGGTAACAAAGTGGTACACATCACTTGAAAAAACAAACTATTCAGAAAAAAAAATGTAAGTAATCTTCCAATCTAAAAACATCATCCTAAGAAATTGGTTTCATTAAAGTGGTTGGTACCAAATTGATGTTCCGTATTTCACAGAAAATGACAATTTTAAGTTTTCCTATTATTTAGCCAACTCTTAGCTTCAAGATAATTTTTTAATGAATTTCTTTTTGTAATAATGAATTCTAGGGTTATTATAATTAATACACCTACGGTTTAAACAGGTAAAATCTCCCTTGGCTCTCTCCCTAGATCATCCAGTTTTGACTTTTGTTCATATATATTCTTTTAAAACATTCCAATGGAGAGGAGACAAAGAAAATGTCTATAATTTATTTGTTAATTGAAAAAAATCATGGCTAATGTATATTTTGAGCAGCATGAATTCCTATAAAATTTAATGTGTCCAGAACCAGAAACAAATGTTGCAATATATTTGTGTTATATGTTTGGCAAGAGCAATGAAATAAAGGAATTTGATATTCAATATCGCTATTTCAAATAATTACTTGCATGCATTTTTTTACTGTCCACATTTTCTTTTCTTGGAAGAAGGGCCTTTCTATATAGGTGTAGTTGTACCCCATAGGGAGAGAGTGGAGTGAATGACCTATAAAAGGATGTTGAAGCCTGATATTATTGCCTTGGAAGTGAATAAAGATTTATGTACACTGTTTATAGACATATCTTCATGACTACGCTATTCAACAGATTTTGTCAGGGATTACCTACCTTGTTAAAAATGCAAATTCATCAGATAGTTCAGTGTCTTTATCTATGTCAAAGAACCCTTGCCCGGCTATGTATTCAGCCCTCTTTTCAAACTCAGACCATACAGGAAAGCTTCAATGAAGCCCACTGGAAAATCTCCAAGTCCTTGAAGGTTTGAAATTACAGATCGAAATATTGTGGAAAAGTGATATTAAGTTTACAGTCTACCAAGAAGGTCATTTACATATTTTGGGAGGATGGGCTATGCAAAAAGGAGGATTGTTCTCTTCAAAGGAGGATGTCTGATCAGTCAAATGTAGGCCAATGCTAAAAAAGGCACTGATGGGATACATGTAGGACCTAATAATAAAAGCACAATGCTTTATTGTACTGTATGTAGAACCTGAAAATGTCACGTATGGGCAGTTAAAATTCACAATTTTAAAAATAGTAGCTTGCACTATGATTATTTGCTTGTTCTTTTGTTTAAAAATGAATAGAGAAGGTGAAGATCATTTGTTTAATACTTCAGATATTGTCAATTGACTCATAGTGATATTACTTTATAGCAAATGGCAACAATTTGAATTAATATTAATAATTGGTACCCCTTCTAGTCCAGTGTTGAGGAGGTAGTTGGAGCTGTGGATGCAGCATTGGAGGCAGGTTACCGACACATCGACACAGCTTATATGTACCAGAATGAGGCTGCTATCGGAAAAGCTCTAAAGAAATGGCTTGACTCTGGTCGCCTCAAAAGAGAAGATCTTTTCATTGTTACAAAGGTTGATGCCTTTTCCTTTAGCATTATATCTATGGAAATTAATTATTAAATGATAAGAAAAGTAAATCAATGTATTTTGATTATATTAAAGTTACTAGTTAATAGGAAAAAAAATATTTTTTTCATATGATATATCTTCCATTGAAAAATATTCAAAAGCATGTTGAATATTGTTTCAAAACACATGAACTAATGAAAGTACATTATGCTTATGATGTAGCTCCCAGTAGTTGGAAATAGGAAAGAATCTGTGGAAAAGTATCTGAAACGATCACTTGCTGCTTTGCAACTTGATTATGTTGATTTATATTTGATACATCATCCAGTTGGCTTGTTGGAAAGAGGAGAAGAACTTTGGCCCACTGATGCTTCAGGAAAATTTCTTCATGACAAAAACACTGACCATGTTAGTTTATGGAAGGTAAGAATGTGCTGTTTGGACTATTCAATAAAATATGTGCTAGTTTGGGGGCAAAGCATTTTGGCATAAATCAGAGGACCCAGAATATGTATGTTCATCATCACTCTTAAATCATGTAAATGAAATGTATCGCATCAGCCATGAAAGGTGAATTAAGTGACAGTGTTTCATAAAGATTAACAAAAACTATAGGAATGTAAAGTACAAGCAATCAAATGATTATTTCATTCTTAATTGTGGACTTATTTCATACTTATCAACTGCCAATATCTACACAGAAATGACAAAGTTTAAATGAAATATCCAAATATTGCATGTATAACAAGTGGAACAAATATTTTATTGTAATGAGATTCACAGCAAGGAGATATAATTAACTTAAACATAAATAGTAACAGTGACATATATGAAAAATAATTTACAGTTGTGAAATAAAATTCTTAACCAATGATTAACACTTTAATTCACTAAAGAATAAATCTGTTGTTAATGTTTCCATGAATAAAAAAGTAATTCATGGTTTTCTGAGTTACAATGGGTAAAAATAGTTAAAACAAACTTGGAAATTCAAAACCTCTAAGCTGTATGCGTTTCGTATATAGAAGAATCAAAAAAATTGGTATACTTTAAAATATGTTGACAAAAATGTTTATCTTATAGGGAATGGAAGCTCAAGTAGATGCTGGCCGAGCTCGAAGTATTGGTCTATCCAATTTCAATTCAAGCCAGATAAAACGTATTGTTAAGTCAGCTCGTATTCAACCAGCTAATCTCCAGGTTGAACTCCAATTATACTTTCAGCAAAGGGAATTAGCAGCATTCTGCAATGCACTTGACATAACAGTTTGTGCTTATTCACCCATTGGTTCTCCTGGATCTGCTGAATTTGTTAAAAAGTTGGCAAAGGATTCAGACAGGTATAGCATCACAAAATTATTGTTAACTGGTTTGCAGTTACAGAAAAAAGTATCAATTAATCAGTATGTTGGAGAGTGAATGATATTTTTTAACAATTTTACTTATGTTTAGTGTTCCTAACCTGAAGCCTCTGACTGATCCTGTTGTTGAAAAGATAGCAAAAAAACACAAAAAGACTGCTGCCCAAGTTCTCTTGCGTCATATTATGCAGAAAGGGATTGTTGTGATTCCCAAAAGTATAAATCCAGCTCGCATCAAGCAGAATTTTGATGTAAGTAATTCAAACTAGATTTTTCATAACTTTTTAAGTACTTATGCCCCTATCAATTTTTGTATTTTAGGTAATGAAATTTTGTGCCCCAACTTCTGTAAATTACTGTAGAGAGTGTTTTGTGAGTGGTGTTGAGGGTTTTTGATTTTAATTGTGATTTATTTATATCTTTGCATTTAGGTGTTTGATTTTGAACTCAGTGCAGAAGAAATGCAGGAGCTGAATGCATTAGATCGGGGCAAAGCTGGTCGTATGTTTGACAACAGGACTCTTGGAACAATGTAATGTTTTTACCATAATAACTATTAATTTTAGAATACTAAGTTACCAATTGAATAATTGTAACAGTACTGTAATGCATAGTTTTCTACATCAAAATCTCCTCATACTCTTTTTTTATTCTAGAATTCTTTATTTCAATGAACACAATAAAAAAAATTATTATTCTGATATGATTTTTTTTATCACAGGTTTGCTGATCATCCAGAAGAACCTTATAGTGCTGATTACTAAATTAGTTATTTGAATAAGAAAAGAAAGCAAGAAGAAGAAAAAATAAAGTAAAAACAACTGATAATAATTGTTAATTGTTTTGATTTTACAGTAACAACTTGGATTTAAACTAAGCTTGTTTAATGACATCAAGACTTTAAGAAGTGAATAAATAATTTCCAGTTAATCCAACCTCTATCAACTGTATCATATAATAATTTAGGCCAGTTTTGAAGACAGGGTCAAAAGATAAATAAGAAACCACTATTTATAACAAAAATGTGTATTTTTTGACAAGGGGTAATTGTGGGAATGGAAGTCACACTAAAAATTGTAGAATTTTTACTTTGTCCAATTTGTTGGAGAATTTCTTTTTATGGAAATATATGTTATTCAGTTCAGATGTCAACGTTTTCAAAAGTGCATTTCTAGATCCCCCTCATTTAAAATATCTTAACCTTTTTGAATGTGCTTGGAATTAAAAAATTTGAATATGAAATCATTTTGAGATCATTTTCATCAGATCATTCATATCTACAATGCTGAAAGAGTTATCATAAATATTTAATGTTTTATAGCAAATATTTATATATAAAGCTTTTATGTTAAAAAATTGTCGTGTCTATTGTGAAAATAAACCTTTTTGTTTAAGAAAAAAATCAATATTTTTGTGTCTATTGTAATAATGCTTGTTATAATGATAAAAATAATATCAAAATATTTCATAATTGATCAGATCAGAGAGTTAATGAAGGAATTAATTCTAGCGTGGATGTAGTTATGTCCTCTGTCCATACCATACCATATGAAATAGTGAAAGGAATATTCCTTTGGGGGTAATAGAATAGGCTTGTTGAACAACTTACCAAGGCTAGTATCCACAGAAGTGAGGGGGTGTGAGGGAAATCCTTCTTCACAAATTGTTCAGTAACTATTAATTTTCACTTCTCACGAAACTTAAGTAAAAACTGGCGCTAAATTGCACATACTTTCTCGCACGTATATTCACGCAAAATTACTCAAATTTTCGAAAAAATTGTACATGACCGTATATTAAAACCAATCTTTAGGGATCAGATTTCATTAAGGGAAAAATCTCTGTATTTAATACTTTACTTGTAGGAAGACCCAACAAATTTTCAACTTTTGCAATTTTCCAAAAATCATGTTTTTTAACGAGCATGAGACCAGCACCATTTTCTTAAACATTTACACTTAAAAAAACCCAGACGGAGCCTTTTTTTGAAAATCTAAAAAATCATCGCAGGGCATTCATGTACAGTGTCCCCTAAAATTGAAATATCGGTTTCAAATTCCAGAGGCCGTACCATCAGCCAGTATCCTATTGGGGAATATCAATTTTGGAGATAATCGGCTGATTAGTTTAGCTGCTTCTGTTGTTCACAGAAAGACGTTTTGCTGTCATTCGATTTTTTGGTTCCAAGGACCCAAAAAAACAAATTCTTGAAACACCATGCGTTAGAGGATTTTTTTCTAAATTTACCCACTTTTTCGTTGACATGTGTCACGAGTTTTTCTGTCGAAAATTAGCCGTTTTTTCGCGCAGCATTACATAACTTTCTCTCTACTACCTAAAAATATTTGCGGATAATCATTAAGGCTAAATGTCCCGACACTAGTACAATTTGTAGCCACCACGTGGCAGCACCAAAATAAGTACTGAACCAATGGTCCGATTTTCAATCTGTAAACGGCATTTGACGCCTTTTTAAAATAGAATTTACGCTGCGATAACCTTTTTCTAAAAATCTAACAAAAATGCGAATTTGAAATTATTTCTCAAACTTCCAAGAACAAATTTAATAATGTGGCCTTATAGCGCGATCCTTGAATCCAACACCGTGACAATCATGCAAATCGAACGAATAGGAGCATCGTAAAGTGAAATTTACAAAAACACCTCGCCCCCCCCCACTTCCTCTTCTGCGCCGTTGCGTCACCTACCCGCCCGTTGTCGGCCCTCTGTCAGCGCAGTGGCACGGCCAGGCCCGGCGGTTAAAGCGGTGCTACGTCTAAGATTAATTACACAAAAGGAAAAGGGGGGAAAGAGGAAAATGGGGGGTTCAAGTTTGGTTTCCCCCCCAGTCCCCCCTGGTCAGTTTTTTTTTTTGGGTCCCAGTCCGGTTTCAAGTTTTTTGTCAGTCGGTCGTTTTTTTGGGGGTTCGTCCCCCGGTTCAGTTGGTCAGTCTGTCAGTTTTGTCAGTCTGTCAGTCTGTCAGTTTTGTCAGTCTGTCAGTTTGTCATTCAGTCAGTCAGTCTTTCAGACCAATCTGTCTTTCCATTAAGCTGTCCATCGCGTCATCGTCAGTCGTCGTCCATCAGTGGAGCCCGTCCGTTCAGTCACTCAATCCGTCTGTCAGTCTGTCGCAGTCAGTCACTCTGAGTGTGTGGCATGAATTATTTTTCTTCTTTAGATGCGAATAAGAGAACGTTTATAATTCTGGCTGTCATTCACTTTACCCTATGGTAACTATATCATGTAGTCACTTATTTATTGCAACTCAACAGTTCTCAACTGTATTTCGTCTTTTTCCATCTGAAGATAATATTCTGGAAAATGTGCGGCACATTCTTAAACGACCGAAACGTTGTTTGGCGTGATTTCATATATGAAGCTTTCATACAAATATATAATTTTGATCACGAAAAAGATAAGAATAATTTACAAAAGGTCCTGTTTATTTATTTTATTCAAAATCAAGCAAAGGATTAATATTATTAAACCCATTACAAATACAAAGACCAAGTTGATGGCATTACGGAAATGATAATATACGCACTTCTTGAAAAAGTATTGGACATGTGGCCATTTGGTTTATTTGTTAAAATATTTTTTAAAATAATATTAACCGTTGTAGCAGGTTAGATCTAGACGAAAAAAATCAAAAGTTCCCAGAAAAGATACTGGCTGTGCGCTCGAGCGCAAAGGGACGAAGGGTAATCACGCTGGCACCAGGATTGCTACGTCATCGGTATATGGTAGCAGTTCCATGGTTTATCTTCCTACAATTGATATTTTCTGTTTTGTCACGGATTAGATCTCGTCAAGTAACTGGATGAAATTACGTTACATATTTCATAAAATCAAATTATTACAGTTTTCATTTTCCGATCTATTTACAGGCAAATAACACACACACTCTCTTTCACACAAACACACATTTAGTTTTTCGGTAGAGATACAAAATATTCCAATATTTGTGTTCAATTCATATTAATAGTTATATAATGACAACGGTCTGTAACACAGAACAAACGGTTGGAAGCCTCGGGCCAAGTGTCAGGTGTTGTGGGTTAGTGCCCGAGTGGCAGGTGTTAGTCTGGGCGCAGTTCTCGGAATGCAGCCCAGCCACGGAATTCGTTTGTAGCAGCGGCCAACAAAATTAACGAATTGTGTTGTGCCGACCGGCCATTCTCCCAGGGTGGGGAGGCATGGTCAGTGACTAGCGGTATATAAGTTAGCGTCGAAAATCGGCTTGCGCGGGATTCGATAACGAATGAAATCTTCGGTGCTGATGGCTCATATTGTCACCCATGCGGGTTGTGCTCGCAGCCTCGACTAAGCGAGTTGTCTCTCTCGCCATAGGACTAACAGGCCAGAAGTGTGACGGCGAAATAAGATGAAAATTAATGTGTTTCAGCAATCAATGGCAAAATACTATCTTTCTGACTTCAGGGAGGTGAAGGGCAGGAATGACCGTCGATACATGGGACTGACACGCATTCTAAAGCAAGCGTTTATGTGTAGAGACGCGAGGTAGAGAGAACACAGAGGTCCAGTTGTTCTGAATAGAAATTGGTAGAGAGCCAGAACAGGTCAGTAACGCCATCTCGGAGTAGAGGAGAAGAAGATGATCAAAAGGGTGTCAACTCTTGTATTTGTTTAATAGAGGGTTATAACTGGCGTCATCGCAGGCCCAGTTTACCCCATAAGCTGAAAAAGGATACTGTTATTTTTTAAAGCGAAATTATGTTGCAGAGCTAACATT